GCGGGTATTAAAGTCACTTGTTTTAATAAAAACCAACACTCACACCTTCAAGAATTGTAATCTGAAAATATTGATTAGAATAACCTATTCTATTTCTTGCTTTCATGACATTGATTTTGATAGAGCATTTCGATTCTATAATGATTATTTTGATACCATAAATATAAATTCATAAAAAGATGTATTCATACAACTAACATGCATACGCAGGAACATTAATAAAACATTTGATTTCTTCACTATTTTCTTACAGTAAATTATATAAATACTTATTTCTTAATGAATAAATTTACTAAAAAGTAATTCAAATTAGATATCGATATTGTTTAAAGTTTATCTGATTAATAAATGTATTCTACGATTATATAGAAAAAGTAAACAATCATGTATAAAAGTAATTTTCGGAAATTAAATATTCAACCAACTTATGATATTAATGTTTAAATAAAGTATATTTTTATTTAAATATTTAACTCTATGTAAATAAATTAACTGATTTATGTATGATTGAAAATTTGTTATATCTTTTATATGAATAGAAAAACAATTCTGTATTCTTAAATTTAACATAATAAATATCATTTATTAGAAATAGAAAAATAGTTAAAATAATTAATTTTATTTGTAAATAAATGTTAGATTAATTAAAAATATTTAATTAATTTTATTTTATCGTAAATAAGTTACGATAAAATAAATAATTATCTAACGTTATATATTTTGAAAATGTGATGAAAATTAAGAAATAATTTGTTATTTTATTTTTCTAATCGATATAAAGCACACGTGATTTGTAAAATAGCGACAGATGGTCGTTTATGATAAGGAACGAAAAAGAAAAAAGAAACATAGTGAAAGTATTAAACCAAATAAATGTATTCATAAGGTTAACTAATGTCGTCAATAATCGATGATTTTCTTTATTTGGGTTCAATAAATGATGCATGTACACCAGAAATATTAAATGAACTTAAAATAACACATTTAGTTAATTTAAGTATAACTAGAATTATTCTTGATCAATCCTATGAACTTCTTCATTTACCTTTACATGATACACTTGATGAAAATATTACAATTTATTTTCAACAAATAAATCAGTTTATTTATAATTGTCGTCAACAAAAAGGTGGACGATGTCTTGTCTTTTGTAAACATGGAAGATCACGATCAGTTGCAAGTGCGTTTTTATCATTTGAAAAAATTATTATTTTAATTTATAATTATAATTACGATTTTTCATTCAAAATATTCAGATTATTTTTAATGAGTACAAATAGTTGAATAATTCTTAGATAAAATTAACTAATCTAATTTCTAATAATCGTAGAAAACTAAATGTCGACATTTATATATATATATTTATTTATAATTTTAGTTGTAATTGCTTATTTAATTGAACATCATGGCCATTCTCTTTCATCCGCTTATTTATTAATATCAAAAATTCGTCCAACAATTTCACCAAATCGAAATTATCTTAAACAACTAGATAAATATTCTTCTCAATCGGAACAAACTCATTGTCCATCTCTTTATTCATGAAAATATGTTGAACAAGAGAACGAAGAAAAAAAAGAAATGAATCGGTGGTGTTGTTGTTGTTATTTATTGATTCTGTGGTTTACTAAAATGTAAAAAAAACAATCAAATAAAATAAAATAAATTTTGTGTTAATATAAAATAAATTACTTTGCCCATTCAACTTTAAGAATTAAATGATCATAACCAAATCCAGATACACATTCAATAGCTTTTTGTGCATCTTTCTTTTCATTAAATGTTATAAAAGCAAAACCTTTTGATGTATTATTTGTTTTATCTTTTGCTAGAAATACTCGACTAACAGGACCAAATGGAGTAAATAAATCACGTAAATCTTGTTCTTGAGTTTCTTCAGGTAAATTTGTTACTCGAATACTTGACGCATGTTGACCTTGAGATGTTGTATTTGTTGATAATGGTGGAATATTTTCAACTAAAATTATCTTCAATATATAAAACTGTAAAGCCAATTGAGATATATGTCTTTTTTTTCTTTTTATGAGACATTGAATAAACTAAAATGAATTTATTAACAAACAATTATCTATACAAAATAAAATTTTTAATATGAATCGAAAGTATTTCGAATTGTTTTATTTCTTTTAAAATAAATATGATTATGTAACAGATTAATTCATCATAGTAAATAAATATAACAAAAATAATATTTATTCCATTTCATATGATAATTTTCTATTCTTTTCTTCTTAAATTGTCGATAGTTAGTTATTTTATTTCTAACATCATATCAAAGTTTTCTCAGGTAAATAGGTAATGCGTAACGTTAAATCGTTAAATTCAACTGATACAAAAAATTTCTACTCTGAAATCTTATATTTTGACAGATTGATTGCGATGCGTAGTAAATTACATTAAATGTCCATTATGCATCGAAATCTGACAAGAGAGAGAACGAATTAGAATGTAGATGAAGTTAGCAGCGGATTCGAGTTTTTCTAAATATTATTCACCTGACAAGGTGTGCCACCTATCGTTTGTTGTGTGCCAGATAGAACTCGACGAGCTCTATCAAACGGTATCCTTAGACTTTGTACTAACCTCATGGAACGTTTCATATTTATCAAAAAGTCTTTTTTCTCCATGGGAACAATTTCATAAAAACTGTATTTCCTAAAATTATTCGCTCTCCCGCACGAAAACTTACAAACAAACATATATTCCTATGCATCTCGACTTACTCTATCGATTGATATGCTCCTTTACACCTGTTAACTAATCATTTCAACACACTTGCATGAAAAACGTCGAAAATCACCATTTTAGCATATATTCCTATATATATTCGCTCTGTGACGTGTGCCATTTTTAAAACTGATTTCATTTGACTCAGAATGAAAAACTCTATCGAATAATGTATAATTCAATTTATTTGCTACCATATTTCCTGTCATATAAGCTCCAAAACTCATTAGGTTCGCTAAAGGATGATTGTTTCCCTTTTTTATTCATATTTCCTTTTGTGCCAAGGCTCGCATATATATTTTTTGATAGATCTCATTTTTCTCTATCGAATGATATGTAGTTCAATTTATTCGCTACTATATTTCTCATCATATAACCTGAAAAACTCAATAGGTTTAGATATTGTTGAGTATTTACCTTTTTTATTCATATTCACTTTTGTGCCAGTGTTCATACATACGCCAATGATTAGCTCTCATCTTCCTCTATGGAACAATGTGTAATTGAATGTATTCGCTATAATATTTTCCATTATATAAGCTCAACAATTGGATAGATGTATTTATTATTGAGTATTCACCTTTTTTGTTCACATCCACGTTTATGCCTGTGTGGATACATCCATCGGTCGATAAATCTCATCTTCCTCTATCGAATAATGTGTAATTTAATGTAATCGCTGCTATGTTTTCTACCATATAAGCTCAAAAACTCAATAGGTGTACCTATTGTTGAATATTTACCTTTTTTATGGATATTCATCTTTGTGCCAGTCTTGATACATACACCAATCGATATATCTTTTTGAGCTGCACCAAATGAGTTATAATTCAGTTATATTTTCATGATATTTTGAACCATAGAACATCTAAAGGACTGAGTAGGTGTAGAAGATATGACAAATTTTACTCACAGATTCGCTTTCGCCTATGTGCCAAGATTGGAACATGTACTATTCGATAGATTTTACTTTGTTCTATCAACGGGAATATAAATGAATAACATACGGATCGATATTTCAATGATATGTATTCGAAACTTAAAGGTATATGTTTTAACAGGTATTTTCCCAGACGATTTATATATGAATCTGTGCCAATGGTAATATATATTTTATTCGATAGCTTTCATATAGTTCTCTCCTTTCATATAGGACTTCTGGTATTTGTATGAACTTTTGAACTTGCATCGCCTAAACAAGTCAGATATTTTTATTTTTTATTCAATTTTATTGAAACATTGCTAGTTAACTAAGTTTTCAACATCTGGAGTAATGCTAAGTATGGAGAACACAAGAAAAGATAGAATTATAAGAGAGACAAACGGTAAGAATTTTGAATGATTGAAAAATCATAAAGAAAATAATATGGAGAGTGTAGGTATGGCTGTAAATGAGTTGTGATCTAATCAGAGCTGAAAAAAGTAAAAAATTATGAATATTTATATGCTTTGACACGAAATACTCTTTAGCTGTAGCGCATCATTTCAATGCAACTACATCATGTGCCTCATTATATGACATGGAACACGCCTAGAACTCATCTATATGTACATACAATAACATAGGTTCCTATATAATGAAATGATCAACGAATATGTATGAGTAAAAAAGAAAAGAATTTGAAAAACGAAACCTATCTCAATAAAGTAGAAATAATAACACACGTTCTAGTTGTCATTGTCTTGCGTTTCAATAGCATAAATTGCTGTTTCGGCAACGTCATCGCCACCTTCATTGTTTTTTACGCCAAATTTGTTGAGATCATCATATTTAGAAAATCGTCCTTTAGCACAAACAATAGTAGCAGTAAAATGATTTGCTTGTGGACAAATTGCTCCTGCTAGATTATAACTAAAAATAAATATTAGTTTTGTTTAAAAATTTTATTTATATAATTGTATGACTCACCGTTGTTTTCCAATAGTAAGTGCAAATGGTAAATCCTTAACCATCGTTGCTACTGTTTTGTTTTTCTCGATGGTAATTACACTTTTCCCAACATTCAGGAGTAAGATCGGTGGTGATTTATAAACGAATTGATTGGGTTTGGCAATTCGATTGGAATTACATACAAACATTGTTCTAAATCATCATGTATAAAAGATAAATTTTTAGGCAAATCAGTCGGTTACACTCACGTGATACCATTACTATGTTTTGCTGGAAAGAAATCATCTCGAATATAAGAACCATTATACATTGTTGGTTCATCAGGACCAATTGTAGCACCACAATTTGTAGTAAATTGTTCAGAAAAATCGGTTAAATTAATGATACGACGATTACGACCACTAACTTGTCTGAAAAGGAAATCGTTTATTAGTTTTTAAAAGAGGTTACTATGAAAAAAGAAGCTTACAGCAGACTTATATCGACAGAATGGGTGTGGGTGTGGGTGAAAAGGATACCATTTATATAATCAAGGATTAAATCGATGGCTGGAATTTTCATGTTGCTTTGTTTGACCTTATTATTTCGAAAGTTAAAAACTCATTCATTTGTTGTTCGATCACGAAGTCCTATATCGCAATCTAAACAATCCATCGACTTTTTGCGTAGCAAGTTTAATGATGTTTCCTGAATAATAAAAATATTGTTTAAAATAAATCAATTTCAGATTGGTCTTACATTCCAATCACTATTTCGTAATGTTTCAAGGAAATGTTTGAGATCCATATTAAGAATTAAGTTCTAAAATAAAAAACAACATACATATTTATCTGTGTATTACACGCGGACGGCAGGGTGTGGGTGGGTGTGTGATGGGTGAGAGTAAAAACGATAATACTTACACCGATACCGATCCACTCACCACACTCACACCCACACCCACACACCCACCCACACCCTCAATCGAATCTATTTATATATACCTTATTTGATACAACTAAACGTGATGTATCAAATACTGCATGTACAACCCTTGTCACATATCTAAATGTGAAATGTGAATCAAAAAGTTACATAACAAATAATCAGCATACCTGTTGAGTTTTTGAGCTTATATGATAAAAAATATAATAGGAAATACATTGAGTTACATATCATTCGATAGAGCAAAGTAAGATCTATCGATTGATGTATGTATCAACACTGGCACAAATGTGAATATGAATAAAAAAAAGTAAATAATCAACCGTAAGCGCACCTATTGAGCTTTTGAGCTTGCATCATAGGAAAATATATCAGAGAAAACATTAAATCATACATCATTCGATAGCAAAAAATGAGATCTATCGATCGGTATATGAATCAATATTGGCACAAAAGTAAGTTTGAATGAAAAAGGTAAATACTTAATAATAAATACAACTATTCAGTTTTTGAGCTCCTATTGTAAAAAATATAATAGCTAAACCATTGAATTATACATTATTTAATAGAGATGAGTGAGATCTATCGATTGGTATATGTGTCAACACTGGCACATAGAAAATATGAATAAAAAAGGTAAGTAAGCAATAATAAGTGCACCTGTCCAATTGTTAAGCTTATATGATAGCAAAATATATCGCAGAAAACATTAAATTATATATCATTCGATAGAGGAAGATGAAATCTATCGATTAGTGTATTGATCAGCACTGGCACAAAAGTGAGTATGGATAAAAAAAGGTGTGTAATCAATAAAAACTACACCTGTTGACTTTTCAGGTTATATGATAAGCAATATAGTAGCGAAGACAATGAGTTACACATTGTTCGACAGAGAAAAGTGAGATCTATCGATGGGTATATGTATCAACACTGGCACACAAGCAAATATAAATAAAAAAAGTAAATACTCAATAATAAGTAAACCTATTCAGTTTTTGAGTTTATATGCTAGAAAATATAGCATCGATTACAATGAATTACACATTATTCGATAGAGAAAAATGAGATCTATCGAATGACATGCATATCAGCGCTGGCACAAAGGTGAATATGAATAAAAAAGGTAAAAACTCAATAATAACTACACCCGTTCAGTTTTTGAGCTTATATGATAAGAATATACCAGCGAAAACATTAAATCATACATCATTCGATAGCAAAAAGTAAGATCTATCGATTAATGTAAGTATCAGCGCTGGCACAACAGTGAGTATGAATAAAAAAAGTAAGGAATCAATAAGAACTACACCTATTGAGTTTTTGAGCCAATATAATAGAAAATATAGCAGTTAAAACATTGAACTATACCTCATTCGATAGAGAAAAGTGAGATCTATCGGTTGGCATATGTATCAACATTTGCGCAAAAGTAAATATGAATAACAAAAATTAAATACTCAACAATACGTACACCTACTGAGTTTTTCAGGTTATATGGTGAGAAGTATAGTAGTGAAGACAATGAGTTACACATTATTCGATAGAGGAAAATGAGACCTATCGATTGGTGTATGTATCAACACTGGCACAAAAGTGAGTTCGAATAAAAATAGTAAATACTCAACAATATGTACACCTATTCAGTTTTTGAGCTTGTGTGATAAGAAATATAACAGGAAATACATTGAATTATACATTATTCGATAGAAAAAAATGAGATCTATCAAATGATATACATATCAGCGTTGGCACAAACGTGAATATGAATAAAAAAGGTAAGTTTTCGAGTATACAAGCATAACTGTTGGGTATTTCTCATATAATGGCTAAAAAATATCATAGATTGAACTCAACCATATCTTATTTGATAAAATTGAACAAGATCCATCGAATGATATATATATCACCTTCAGTATAAATTGCAGCATGAACCTCTAATGCAAATTATTAATAATAAGCACAACTGTTGAGTTTATGAGAGACGACGATTTAACAGGGATTACAAATATGAACAAACCGTAGTTCATTTGAGAATGAATTTTGTTTGAAATGATAGAATTACATGAGATTTGATGAATTTTTAAGGTTTATACCGAATACATGCATATTTGTGACTTGTAAGTTGAGTAGCTGACGTTACAATATGCATGAGAGATTTTGAAAAGCTTTTAAATCCATTTTATGGATTCAAGTATATTGATTTATACATCATTCGATAGAGTTTTTCATTCTGAATCGAATGAAATCGGTTTCAAATGTGGCACAGGTTATAGAGCGAATAAATCTATGGAATATATGCTAAAATGGTGATTTTCGACGTTTTTCATGCAAGTGTATTGAAATGATTAGTTAACAGGTGAAAAGGAGCATGTCAATCGATAGAGTAAGTCGAGATGCATAGGAATATATGTTTGTTTGTAAGTTTTCGTGCGAGAGAGCGAATAATTTTAGGAAATACAGTTTTTATGAAATTGTTCCCATGGAGAAAAAAGACTTTTTGATAAATATGAAACGTTCCATGAGGTTAGTACAAAGTCTAAGGATACCGTTTGATAGAGCTCGTCGAGTTCTATCTGGCACACAACAAACGATAGGTGGCACACCTTGTCAGGTGAATAATATTTAGAAAAACTCGAATCGGCTGCTAACTTCATCTACATCGAATTAGAAAAAGATATTTTGAAGAGCATAGACAAAGAAAAATGTGAATCAGATTTCGATGAAAGAGATTTTTATATAATATATAGACTATTTATATCATACTAAAATTGTCTTTTAATACTTAACAAATCAAAATAACTTTATCTATGACATCTATGATGTAACGTATATATTTGATTTGTCAAATTCTAATAGATCTATTATATTAACTTCAAAAATATACATGTTGAATAAACAAAAGAAAAGATTAATATTTATAATTCAATTTAAATAAAATTTATTTTAAAAAAATTGGATTCTCAATCAATTGATAACAATAATTTTGTTTCTAATATTTGTCAAATTTGTTGTAACATGTATAAATTAGAAACAATGACAATTATATTCAAAGATCCACATTCATTATTTGATACCACCATAATAGAAGAACTTGCTGGTATTGAAAAGAAAAGCTGCCGATTGGAATGTATCTATGTTTCTGATAATATTATTCAGTTTTGGCTTGAAAAATAGTTTTCTCTAGTTTTCTTATTGTTCATATTGATAAATATCATTATTTTCATTTATTAAATAAAACTATAGTTACATACAAAATTATCGAATAAAATAACCCAGGTCAAACAAGCGCGATCGTAAACGATCGTATTTTTCTCCGAATACAGTCGTATTCAATCGTTTACGTAGTTCGTAATAATCGACCTGGGAAACGAACTTGAATATAGAAATTATCATTTTAATGTACTAATACTTTTTTTTCTTTCCAGTTTGTGCCTCTAAGACATTATAAATGAATATATATCCTACACGCTTTAAATTTCTTCGAACTAAAATCATTAAAAAAAGAAGAAGCATATAAGTCAGTATGCCGTGGTGGTCGTGTTGTATCTGTAGGCTTACCTAGTGGTAAAATATACATATCAATCGTTCACAATATTCTTTTTCTTTAATATATAGAAGATATAAGAATTGACTATAAAATTACATTTGTTTCATTTTCGTCCGTAAAGCCAAATACAAATTGACTAGACCATACTAGACGTCATAAAGGACGTACATACATATATATATCATAGGTGAGATGTCTAATATATGATAATACATGTCACATTGTCATATAAAATTCAATTTTTTTTAGATTGCTAGTACCCAGGACGGTGGTTCCTGAAGCAGCATTTCATGAATTTCCAGCGAAATCCCGGAAGAAACTCGCCATTTCCGGGCGGAACCCGTCCGGAAAATGCCAGGAATCCGATCGAGCAGTGGGGTAACCGTATTCGACTGCCGGTTTTGACATGTTCCTGTCGGTTCCGGACCAAACAAGATAAATCCGGTCATTGAATCCGTTCAATGGGAATACTGCTTCCATGAAATCTCCGAGATACCATGGCACCGACCGTTTCCGTGCAGGATTGTTCGACCCGGGTATACGTTACCTTATATTTTCTGATAAAATTTAATTTTGTTTTAGATTAATTATGGATGCTATGAAGATTCTACTAATATTTTGGTCATTACTGTTAATCAAATGCTACGGATTTATAATTTATTTTTGCTTTCTGATACTGGTATTGATCGTGTAGTAAGTTTATCACAATGTATAATTACGATAAAAAAACTTTTCTTTTAGTTATGGATGTAAAGCGATTAAATTTATAAAAAACAGATTTTTAGAATACACAAATCCACTGACCGTCATTCACAACGGAGCCTTTTTTGTGAATGACGGATCAGGTAAGGTTTATTTACCCATATATATTTATTTTTCACCGTTTCTTTTTAGTGGTGCAACGAAACAATAATTTAACAGAAGATGAACATATGGAATAATTCATGTTGTTAGTGCGCTTTAATTATTCAAATAATTACTCATTTTTCATTTTTATTTTCATTCAAACTATTCAGATAATTAGAATTTAGTTTCAACTTTTTTCTAATGAGTATAAATAGTTTAATAACTATTAGATAAGAATTAACTAAATTTAATTTCTAAGAATACTTTTTTAGTATAGTAAAAAAACAAGTAACGCTCGTCTAAGGATTCTCTCAGCTCTTTCTCGTATATATGGTGTTCTACAATGCTACGAGACCTTTTGCTTACATAACTTGCAAACACTAACATCAGATTCGTATTCCTCGATCCCAAAAACCATTTCGTCAAATTTTATAAAAAAATAGTCCTTTGTCTATAAAAAAAAAGCTTTTTTCAAAAAAATTTAAAAAAATTAACATGAGATTCGAAGTTCTTTCAACAAAATACCTCTAGAAATGTGTCTTTCTAAAAATCGGTTTTCGATGTTTTTTTGACCCTGCGGACACATAAGCAATCAATCAAGCAAACAATTTATTCTTGCAAGATTCTTCTCTACGAGAAAGAGAATCAATTGAATATCTTTCTATATGTATATTTGTTTATAATTTTAGTTGTGTTTGCTTAGAATCGAAATTATCTTAAACAATTAGATAAATATTCTTCTCAATCGGAACAAACTCATTGTCCATCTTTT